ATGATTATTGTTCTGGACCTATTACATTATGAAGTACATCTGTGCAGTGTAACCTCCATGGAACAGTGACTGCTGAAGCTGCACTCTCTGTCCTGGACGGTGTGCCTTGAGCACCATCTAGTGGCAAAAGGAATCATTGCTTATGTGCTAACTGCTTGGTTATTTGTCCACAGACCGCCAGGATTTGGAGGAGGCAGATAAAGTGGATGTTTTGCAGGAGCCACTTCTCGAGGCGCTAAAGATTTATGTTCGGAAACGGAGGCCCCACAAGCCGCACATGTTCCCCAAGATGCTGATGAAGATCACAGATCTGAGAAGCATCAGCGCTAAAGGTGAGTGTGGAGAACCTGGGGCAGTTGTCCTGCTTGTGTGTGTGATGTACTGACGTCATGTGTTTCTGTGTCCAGGAGCCGAGCGTGTCATCACTCTGAAGATGGAGATCCCCGGCTCCATGCCTCCTCTCATCCAGGAGATGCTGGAGAACTCTGAGGGCTTCGAGAGCGGAGCGGCAGGCAGCCGCAGCTCTGGAGCTCCTCCTGGAAGCTGCAGTCCCAGTCTGTCTCCCAGCTCTGCCCAAAGCAGTCCAGCCACACAATCACCATAGACCTCATGGACTTTACTACATCCACACGGCGCTGTCCGGCCGCACAGGTCCTGAGGAGTCTGCAGAAGCTCTGGCTCAGATCACAAAGAAACTTGTTGCACGTCCGATCAATGACCTTCTATCAGGAACACTGCGGAGGTGAGACCAAATGCCCAGAGCTGAGGCCCCTGTCCTTCACTATCATCAGCAGCAGTGCACACCAGCTCCAACAGGACAGAAGCCTGGGACAGGGCAGCCTGGGCAGCAGCCAGGGCAGCCAGGACAGCCGGGACAGACGGACTCCTATGAATGATTCTATAAAGACAATGCATACAGACTCTGCAAACACAAGACACTTTTTGTTGTACTCCTCAACAGACTGCAACTGCAAGCTTGGACTTGTCAGAAGAGCCCTCCTCCTCAAAGACTGTGGGAGCTTCTTTTTTTCCAACTTCAGAACAGATTTCTTACAAAAGATATATAAATATATATATATAAAAGCTAAGGAACTGTTGAGATTGTGTCCGGGCGGCGGCAGGAGAAGTGGGGACATGTTTTCTGAGATTAGAAGTTGTTGTATTCTTCACTGTTTCAATCTTTTCATCCCCATAAAGTGTTGAGAGATGTTTCAGTTTGAGCACATTTGTACATGAAAGCATTGGTATTTGACTTTATGGTGCATACACGGATTGAAACACGCACACACTCTCAAATGTGCACAGAAAACAAGTCGCAGTGAATATCACCTCTTATTCCAGGTCGAATTAAAAATGATTGTATGAAGTTGGTTGTATGATATGGTCACAGGTCCTTTCAAGAAAACAGATGAATGAAGATTCATGATTAAGGTGTATTTTAAGTAGCCTTTGAGTTTGTGTATATAAGCTGTATTCATTTCTTTAAAACTATGAAGAGTTTAGACTTCACCTGATTTTTTTAAGAATACCTTTTATGTGATTTGTTTCTAGGTTTTGTGATTCAAGAAAAACATTTTGAGCATATTTACTGAAGGAAATTCTTTAATGTCTTGTGTCCCACTGAAACTGGACAGGCCTTTTTAACCAATCACACTGGCTGTTCAGAACGTGGCTTTCACTGACTCTTCTACCAATCCCTTCACTTTCAAAACCCATTTGTTGAAATCAGTATACAAAGTAGCACTCCAGTCGGGGCATAGCTTTTGGCCATGTAGCAGAACGAGACAATTCTGACAGCGGCGAGGAGCTGCCTCCGCCTGCTGCAGCTTTAAGACAAAATGTGAAGAGTGGTGTACATACACACTGTAATGATGACACAAGTGATTCTCAGTAGTTTTACCAATTGTTCCGTCATGTTTTGTGGAAAAAGAGGAAAAAGATTGATGTGATCCCTCTTGCTTTCGTCAGTGGTCCAGGCAAAGTGAAGGTCCCAAATGTGATGTCTCTCCTTCCCCTGAAGCCTGTGGTTCGAACCAACATGTGACTTTTGATGCCAGACCCAGAGCAACCTCACACCCTGTGATTCACTTAAAGCCAAAACGCCTTCACCATTAGAAACTTGCATTTGTCCAGACCGTCGTTACTGTACACACGCCAATGTCTCAGGAAGGAATCATTGTGTGTGCCTGGCCTATTTCTTTGTTTTGTTCTGTGCTGCACCTTCTCGACCCTGTTTTTCACAACAGATGCACATGTTCACTCTCGTCTGCTACTGAGCCCCCCTCTGATCCCTCTGTGGCGTCTTCTGGGACGTGGATAGAGACACTGACCCTCACCCACACCGGACGCCAGTGTGTGGACTTCTCTCTGAATCACAACTCTGTGTTATTTTATTTGTACGGTCAAAGCTGCTTTTTATCATTTATTTAGTATTTTTATCTGTCCAGAACGGCGCACAACTTTTCCCTCCACAGCTGATCTGGAATAACAACAAACAAAACATCAGTTTGAGAAGTATGAAATATGTTGCAAATTTTGTCAAGATTATCCAGCGACTTTGAAAAAAAGACAAAACAACTAAAAATAAAATAAAATGAACATTTAATAATGGTTTTCCTGAGTCTTTCTTTGAGTGTGTGTCATGATACGTCACCGCTATGTTTTAGAAAATCAAGTACTCGTTTAGACAGTGATTGAATGAAGACCAATTCCAACACGTTAGTCATCGATAACTTCTTTGATCATATTTGTGAGAATTCATTAATTATTACTGAAGAAATACACTGGAGGTCCACATGTATTTTTATGACACTCAGCAGTCACTTACAATCACCAGCGGTTTAGCAGTAGATATGTTTACTTTAATCAGAAGCAATGTGAAATACTGTAGTAATATTGAATTGCGCAATTTGGTGTCGCGCTGTGTCCACTGAGAGTCACTTTATCTGCTATTTATGTGTCCATATCATAAACATTTCAACAGCCAAGCAGCCATCATTGAAAGCATTACTCTACAACACACTCTGCTGTAGTCGTTATTATGTTCAGGCTTTTGTTTTGTTTAATTTTTCATGAAAACTATAAAATGTAGTCTGAAATGAATCACCGATAGCCGAGGGTACTTACTGTACATTCAATTCAATGTATTTCTGTATAGCCCTAATTCGCAACAGCAGTGGTCTCAGAGGACTTTACAATGTTGCAGATTTGTCAACAACAGATCAGAGAATCAATCGAACACAGAACATTCAATAATAACAAAGACATAGAAGCCATTGGTCCATAGGGAGAAGGGTGACCACTGTCCAGAAATGTCCTTAAACGTTCTGGATCAACACTGTGCTTAAACCCTGTGAGGAAAGCCTTAAGCCTGGCCTTGAATGTAGAGACTGCTGGATGTGGATTTATACCACAGGAGCTTGGTAGCTCAACACTTACTTATCTTACTAAAGCCATTATATATCCATATTTTCCCCCAGTTTTATACTTCAGCTATAATCTTCAAGCACAGATCTTTGTGTTGTTCTCCAATATTTCAGCTATGTATCTTGGTTATGGAAAGTGCAGCATTGAAAGTCTCTAGGCCATTGTCTTATATTAGAACTATTAAAGGGTAAATTGTCCGCTACTTTGGGTTGTCCCCTTTCAAAATATTTACATATATAATATGCATGTACATATAATAAGCATGCAGTTATTTGGGAAGTAAACTGAGGCCTGAGAAAACGATGGACTGCAGAAAACTGCAGAATATGATGAGTAAATATGAGTTTTACTGCATGGATTAGGTGTTCGTAGTAACACAACACACTGCTGCGGTTTAGGTAAAAGAAGTTCCGACATACAACGTTTCACACAAACCTCAGACGTGGACAACACTGTCGGACTAAAAGTGAGAAGTTGTTTTGAAAATGCCTTGTTTTGGAGCGTGCCGTCTGTAGTAAAGAAGCCCCGCCTTCTTACGTAGGAGTCATGGCTCAGCCAATCAGATCTCCTCGCGCGGAATTTTGAAAAAATTCAAATGACCATTCACAGAAATGAGAAGTGTTCATCCGCTAAAAGTGTAAACAAAGTAGACCCTCAGCACGAGACCTTTTATTACAGCTCAATAATAATCTTAAACCATCCTGCAGCTGTATATAAATAACATTATTCACACGTGAGGGCTTTTTCACAGTCCATTCTCTTCGCTCCGTGCAGTTAAAGGCTCGGTTAACTCGGTGGTGGAGGTTCTGGCGGAGTGATATCGTCTTTCCCGGAAGTGGAGTTGTAAAGTGGAAACTCTTTCGTTGCCAGTCTCTAAGAGAGTGCATCGTGCGGAGCGGTGATTACTGCCGTTATTCAGGATTCGAACATGTTTTAAGGATAAAAGCTACATTTCCGACTCGTGTGGTCGTTTTATGGATCGTCAGATATTTTAACTGTTAAAGTTTTTACAGGTAAGACACAGTCTCTGACTCTGTTCTTTCAGCAGAGAATCTTCTAACAGCCAACATTAACATTACAGTTATTCTGAGCCATGTGTCCTCGGTTTGTTTCACGTTGATCGCAGAAACAAAATGGAAAACAGTTAATTCTCCTGTAAACAGTACGTTACACGTGGTGCTGCTTCAGACAATAATGTTTACATTAGTTTTATTGTAAGCTACATTCATATTTTTGTTTGTGAACGTAGTTTTATAAAATGAAACCATTATGTGTCTTATATGGCTGTGTTTGTGGCCTTGTGTTTTACTGTTGATGTATCGCAAATGTGCGAAGGATTTTCTCGGATGTCACTCGATGCCTCTTCAGATGTTTCAGCTGCTTCCTCTTTTCAAAGGTAACGGGACAAAGATGCCTCTGCACGGGAAGGTAGTGGTCTTAAAGAGAAGTGGAGGCGATGGGACCGAGTTCCCTCTGACCTCCACATGTACTTTTGGAAGGTGAGGCCTGTTCATGTTCTGTAAACACATGCTTGTGATTTAAAGCGTTGGAGCATGACTAGAATGCGTTTATTTTTAATGTTTGTCTCTGTCTTTGAGCTAAAGACACAACAGTAAAGACGATCTGATTTTATCCAAGCCAAATGTGACATGTACATTTCTTCAGTGTGAGACCAATAAAGTGTATCTTATATTATCTTTGTTTTTTTCTCACTACACAGGAAGCCTGACTGTGACATTCGCATTCAGATTCCTCAAGTGTCCAAGGAACACTGCAGAATTGACCTAAACGAAAACAAGGAGGTAACATGAAACCACATTTGACCTATGTTTATTGTGATTTTAGATGCTTTATTTTATTTCTAACCACACAATGGAAATATTTTATTTCCAGGTAATTTTGACGAATCTCAGCTCTGTTAATCCAACACAAGTTAACGGACAAGCTTTGCAGCAGCCTGAGCGACTGAAGCATGGAGATGTAATAACTATCATTGACCGTTCTTTCAGGTTAGTTCATGTTGCTCCAAGTCTGATATTCATTAGAATCACTAAGGACGCATCATAAAAAGTCCTAATCTATTTACTATAGGTTCGAGTATCCTCCTCCCCCCACACCTAAAAAGAGGGCGTCTGTTGGTGGAAAAGCTGAGGTGACTGCGAGTGGTGAGTGTTTTCTACTTTGCCTTTTAGGAACAAAGATATATATTATGTTTTATTTGCTATATAGTTTTGCGATCCATAATATTCACTTAACTTGTGTTGTCATCCACATTCCTACTGTTCTGTAAATGATGATGCAACACTGACATTTCCCCACTGTGGGACAAATAAAACGACCATACATTGTTCTGCACGGTATTTGAAATGACTGTTTTCATGCTAGACCCACACCTGAAAGATGCAGCCAACACGGACAACATTCAGCGGTCTCTGGAGAAGCCGCAGGAGGCAGAGTCCAAAGAGGAGGCCAGTTCGCTGGAAGGCAAAACTGCTTCGCCTTTCAGTGATCTGTATCAGATGATCAAACAGTCTCTTGATGTGAAGACTCCCCGCAAGTCTTCCATCAGTGTTCTGCAGGCTCAGTCATCAAAATTCTGCACGCCACAAGTGCCGTCTGCTAGAAAAGGAAACCGTCGACCTGTGGAAGAGAAGGGCACTCCCAGACAACCTGCAGTCGAGCCGCAGACCAGTGATGTCGTTCTGCCTGCTACACCCAAGTCCACCAAGAAGAGGTGCTCCACTCAACTCTCCTCAGAACTGACACCACAGAAGTTCACGGTGGGAGAAGCTCTCGAGCAAATCTCTCAGCCTCAAAGATCACCGTTAAGAAGGAGGAGCAAAGAGACCAAGTCACCTGCGTCTGAAAAGAAGAAAGTGAAATCTCCAGCAAAGAAGGAAAGCGCTGGCGCAAAAAGCTCAGAAAAAGGTGACTATTGAATTTACTGCTTGTAGTCCTGAAAAACCTGAAAAATAATGGTAAATTAAAGTTCAATATCCCAGCCCTGTAAATGATTTGATATTAGGAGTGTTGGAACACATTGGTTATTTATTCAAAAAAACATTATTCCATCTCATTCAATAATAAAAGAATACATAATCTCATATTCCAGTGTCAGGATATATTGCATAAGTATCACATCTCCAGATACACACCAGAATGCACACGCCGCTTTTTTATAATTTTCCCTCTAAAAAAATATGTTGAATATGCTAACATCTGTCTTTTTCCTGATCTAATATATCCACCTATTGAATCTAAATTGGCAATTGAAAGATTAAAGGTCAGGGAAAAGCTGAATTGATGGTTGATAATTCAAAGTGAAGCTACTGTTGAATATGATGCAATGTCTTCATGATGCATTAAATTGTAGGTAAAAAACGGAAGAGTGAGGAGCTTGGGTCCGACCTTCCCACTCAGCAAATGAAGAGGAAGAGGGTGTCTTTCGGGACGCAGCTCAGTCCAGAGCTGTTCGACAAGCGCCTGCCCCCGGACTCCCCTCTGCGTAAAGGAGCCGCCCCCCGCCGCAGCCTCTCTCTGTATAAACCCAAACAGTCTCTGCTCAGGAGAGCTTCTGTGATCGGTTTGATCAAGGTATGAATCGTGAATAATTTCTTTTACAAAAGTGCACTTTCACAATGAATTATACAGCACTGATTATGTATTTGTTCACTGTGCTTGTCAGGAACATCAAAGCCCGAAGGCAAAGAGTCCGGCCAAAAAGAAGTCTCCCTCGCCTAAGAAAACGTCTAGTGCCAAGAGTGCTTCTCCCAAGGTTCAGTCCCCAGCCCGGAAGGCCCAGTCCCCCAAAGCCAAGACCCCATCACCAGGAAAGAAGTCTGCCACCCCAACAAAGTCCTCTCCCAAAGCCAAGTCGCCTGCCCAAACGCCAAAATCCAATGTCACCCCCAAGAAGGCCTCCCCCAAGGCAGCCACCACCCCCAAGAAGGCCTCCCCCAAGGCAGCCACCACCCCCAAGAAGGCCTCCCCCAAGGCAGCCACCACCCCCAAGAAGGCCTCCCCCAAGGCAGCCACCACCCCCAAGAAGGCCTCCCCCAAGGCAGCCACCACCCCCAAGAAGGCCTCCCCCAAGGCAGCCACCACCCCCAAGGCAGCCTCCCCCAAGGCAGCCACCACCCCCAAGGCAGCCTCCCCCAAGGCAGCCACCACCCCCAAGGCAGCCTCCCCCAAGGCAGCCACCACCCCCAAGAAGGCCTCCCCCAAGGCAGCCACCACCCCCAAGAAAGCCTCACCCAAACAAACCAAGACACAGACTCCCAGGAAAGCTCTCCCAACGCCCTCGTCCAGATCTCAAACTCCTGCCAAGTCTCCCGTCCAAAGAAAACCTGATTCTTCAACCAAGCCACCGCGCAAGTCCGGCACTGAGAGTTTGGCAACGCCTCTATCAGCGGATCAGACTCCAAAAGTGCAGGGGCGTTTCTCTGTGTCTCGCATCACCACGCCGTCCCCAGTGAGTGAAGATTTGGCGACGGCGTCCTGCCCGTCAGCCATGGTCACTCCGAAGATCCCACTGAGAAGGAAGAGCATGAAAAGCTCCACTGCTAAGAAGACTCCAGCTCTGAAGAGCGCCGCGAGACTGATGCGGAGAAAGAGCACCATGAGAACCTCCATGAAAGGTTTGTTTCACTTGGTTACTCAATGTAGATAGATATTGATCAAATGTTGGAGAAATTCAGGTGTATAGTAGCAGAATCCATCCTTATATGCATACATACATAGAGACTTTTGACACGATGTATTTATGTGTTTGTAAGTAGTTTTTTTGTGTTCTTTTCTTTTGACTCTTGTTCCCTTTTGTCATTTTTGCAAACAGTGATGGCATCCTGGGCAGACATTGTGAGATTTGGTAAAACTAAAGTCCAGACTGCAGTTCCAACCAAATCACAAGTCACTAAAAAGATTACAAAGAAGAAGGCTGTTGCCAAACCACAGGTAATATAATAAAATAACCATTTAATGAATCCTACTGAGATGATGGTAAAGCTAAAGTCTTACCCATTTCTATATTACTTAAAGACACCTAAGCGACGACTTCCGGACCATGTGGGCACTGGACACGCTGCTTCGCCCGCAACGATAGTCGTGGGAAGAGCTCACAGACTCGTGCATCCCACTGGTGCTCCCCCCAAAATTGTCACCAACACAGCGGTGCTAAGAAAGAACCTGAAGATGGATGAAGATCTGACTGGTAAAAGTACAGATGAATTACGGTTGATAAGTTTTTAACACTGTGGGCTCATGGTTTTGTTTATGTTACAGGAATTTCTGACATGTTCCAAACCCCGAAAAATGAGAAAAGGATGTCGACCAAGGTTGTGAGAAGTGCGAAAAGAACGCCACTGGCAGATATCGACCAGTCACAGATGGAGCCGTCTGTCCTGAATACACCTGAGGAGACTGGTGAGTGCTGGTACTCATTGCCATTGACCCATATATAATCTGTTCTTTTTTTAACCCTAAATGTGTGTGTTTATGTGTAGGTGAAATGGTTGTATCACCGATGAGCGTTGCGTCTACGATGAAAGGGAGAAGATACAACAGCGAAGCAGTTCAACGTCTGCTTAATGACGATATTCCTTCTTTAGATGTGCAGCCTGAGTCCACTGAGAAGGCCGTGCCCGCAACTCCAACCCCCCAGATGACCGAGGCTAAGACTGGAAAGATTACGCCAACGCAAAAGGCTGAGTCCGTTAAGGAATTGAACCTTGTCAAGACGCCGCAACCGGAGTGTCTGTCTGCTGTCAAACGCATCATGAAGACGCCACAAGAGAAAGTGGAGCCAGTTGAGGACCTCGGAGGAAAGCTGTTGAGAACTCCCAGGCAAAGACTCGTCCCGCAAGAAGAGTGTCTGACCGGCGTAAAGCGAATCATGGAAACTCCAGCAGAGAACAGCCCGCCTGCTGAGGACTTGAGTGGAGAGCTCCTGAAAACTCCTCCACAGAAAATTGACGAGCCAGAGTGCCTGTCTGCTGTCAAAACGAGCATGAAGACTCCAGACCAGGAAGTGGATCAACTGGAGTGCGTGAGCAGAAGCCCTCAACAGAAGCCTGAACAGCAGGAGTGCCTGACTGGAGTGAAGAGGATCATGAAGACCCCAAAAGAGAAGTACGAACCCATTGATGACATCCGGGGAAAACTGCTGCAGACCCCCAAACAGAAGGTCCAGCAGCAGGAGGAGTGCCTGACTGGAGTGAAGAGAATCATGAAGACGCCAAGAGAAAGGCTCCCACCTGTGGAGAAGAACTTTGGCCTGAAGCGACTCATGCAGTCACCGCGACTGAGAGGAAACGCACCAGTGGAAGACTTCGAGGGTCTGGAGGAGCTCATGAGGGAGCCGGTTGAGGAGCAGATCATTGGAGACGCAGAGGGTACTTGTCAAACGGCTTTAAATTCTGTAAATGCAAAATGGCTTTCTTTTTAATGAGTTTGTTTTTGTACATTTTCTTTCTTAGTGAACATCGAGCAGCCACAGGTGTCTGTGCAAGTCGAGGCTGAGAAAGCAATGTCCACTGAAGGTAGGTGGTGACTAGGCTTTTTAAATCCAGTCTGTTGTATTGTCAATTAAAAAAAATTCTTTCTATGTGATTTCAGAAGTGGCCAACCAGCAAAATGATACTGAAATATCATCTGCAGTGGTGTCCGTAGAAAGTTCACCTAAAACAAAGCCTGTCTGTGGCAGAAGAGCAAAGGTCATTGAGCATAAAGTAGAGGAAAAAGACGAGGTTGAGGTACCAGTTAAAACCAGACGAGGGAGGAAGGTGGAGAATTCTGCGTTGAGACCGACGGCACGTGGTAGGAATGCAAAAACCCCAGAAGAGTCTCAGGAAAGAGCAGAGGTGGCCACTGTCGAGCAAAGTATGGTTATATCTGCTCAAGAACCCCTCCACAATACAGTTTCCACTGAGCCGGAACAGAGCCCTGACCCTGCTGTCCAGGAAGCGGAGCCCTCTGCAGCGCTAGAGGAGCCTGTTGTGAAACAAAGACGTACCAGAAAAACCAAAGCAGCTGTGACTGTACAACCTGCAGAAGCACAAGGTATTTCCACCTTTCCCTGTGGTATAATTAATATTCTGTTACATCTAAAATAATGTACGTTTTTGTATTCAGAATCTAATGCAACACCACTGGGCGACGAGCTGCAGAAAGACTTGACTGCAAAACCTGCTCGAGGCAGAACGACTCGGGCGATGGACACTGATGAGGGTGCCCTGGCTGAGGCTGAGGAAGCAAAGGACAAAGAGGATTCAGTGGTTGTTCCCATCAGAGGTCGACGAGGAAAGAAAACTGAAGCAGTAGCAGCAGTTCCTGCCGTTAAACAGACAAGAGGTCGAGCTGGAAGAGGCCTAAAACACACAGAAGTGGCTAAAGAAGTTTTACCAGAAGAATCGGAAGTGCCCGTAACTGAATCCAAACTAGAAGAGGTTCACGCAAGCGAGCCTGAACCCACCATCGAGATGGTTCTGGAAAAAACAAAACGAGGGAGGAAAAGAATTGCCCCCATTGAGCCAGAGTCTAAAGTAAATGCAGATGAAGGTGAGCTGTCTGTGGTAGAGTCTAAACCTGCTCAAACTGAGCAACCGCTGCCCACAGAGAAACCAACAAGAGGCAGACGAGGAAAAGCACAAACTGTTCCTCTGCAACCAGAGTCAGAAAGTGCTGTCGCCAGCCTCCCTGCTGTGGTAGAAACCATGGACATTCAGGTAGAGCAGCCCAGAAGAGGGAGAAGAACCAAGATCACAGTGGAACCTTCTCCATCTGAGGCAGATGTTCCTACAGTAGAGGCTCAACCTGTTTCTGAAACTGCTCCAGAAAAACCTGCTCAGGCAGAGAAGCCCAAAAGAGGAAGAAAGGCCAGACCTGCAGAGAACAGCCACACTGAACAAGAGGCTGTGGAAGACCTGCCATCAGAGCCCAAGAGAATGAGGAGAACAAGGAAAGTGGAAGATCAAGGTGAGACTGTTCAGACCACAGAAGAAGCCCCAGTTGTTGAACCAGTGAAGGCTGAACAGTTGGCTCCAAAATCCAGAAGGGGTGCACAAAAACCAAAAGAGGCTAAAAGTAGTTCTACAGGAATGACAGAAGAGGCGACTTTGCTCAGTGTAACAGAGAAACCCAAGAGGGGAAGGAGAGGCCAAGAGACCAGTGCAGAGATAATGGAGGAAGATTCTGTTCCCACCAAATCTACAAGGAGACCTGTAGTCCCTGCTGCCCCAGCTAAAAGGGTTGGAAGAGTGGCAAAGGTTACCCCTAAAGAGAGCACCTCTGCTGTAGAGGAGGCTCCTCCTGAGGCCGGTCAAGTTAAACCTGTAAAGAGGGGAAGAGGCGCAGCCAAAGCACCAGCTAAAGAGGCTAAACAGGAACAGCCCGCTAATGAAGACTCCTTGAAATCTAAAAGGTCTATCAAATGGAATTCAGATATTGAAGTAATTGAAGTTACACCCTTGAGGACAGTCCGTGGCAGAAAGGCAAATGGCACGCAAAAAAACAAAGTTAATAATGTCCCGACAAATCCTGAAGAGGAAGATCTCTCAGACAAAAGCCAGCCCGCTAAGAGACCCAGGAGAGGAGTGAAGGCAGCTGTAGTGGAGGAGACCACAGCAGCTGAGGTGCAGCCCAAACCTCGAAGAGGCAGACTGGCAAAGAAATGATCGCTTTTGTAAATGGTCTGAAACTTGACTTTCTATCTGAACAGAACATTTTATTTTTGTTTTATACATTATAGAAACCGTAGTTTGTATTAAAAAAAACGAAGCACTGTTTTTTTTTTCCTTCAAATATTGCAGGGATTCTTGTCTTAAACTTTTGATATTATATAATTCATGGCTTATCTTGCAAGTGTGTTGTAATAGGGAAGATAAAAAAAAAATCATTAAAGTTTTTAACGTGAAAGTACTGGGATATGTTTTTACTTTTTTTTAAATAGTAAATATTGAGTTAATTCAAGGTTCTGGATTCTCAAATGGCAGCTATAAGTTCAGAAATTGGTTGACCATGCATATTTTATTCAATAAATCTGAAAAAACGACTTTGGTGTTATTTCGATATTCTGTGTAAAATATTTAGATGACAATAGTAAAACTGCTGTAGGAACTATGACAGACACAAACTCCACGGACCAGTTATGAAGACGGACACCCAAACGCGGAAGTACGGAAGAGGCGCGCATGGATTTGACTGGAGCTTGCAGAGAAATGGACGACGTGATTTCAGCAACATCTCTGTTAACGATACCGTCCATGGAGGCCGACATCAGAACGACGCCTAAAGGCTTTCTCTGCGTTTTGTGCAACGTCAACATTCCAAACCGTGAGTCCATCCTGATGACGTTTTCTCAGCAACGAGCTAGTCAATGCGTGTGCGTGAACAGAGTCGATGATTATAATGTGGTGTTTGTTTTATATATTTACTTGTTATGGTATTGATGCCAAACAGCTGGAACAGTAAATGTACATTGTTAATCTGGCACTGTCTACTCCAAGAACCATGGGGCAAGAACACATGCACAACCAGTCACTTTAAGTCACTGCAGTTTTATAAGACTGAAAAAACCTGCACTACTATTGACACTTCTTTCTTGATTGCCACTTTTTTGTACATAATATATCCTGCAATAACATGTCGCACATTTCTTACTTTTTGCACAATTCTTGAGGGTTCCTAATTTCTCCTGTGTGAGATGAATAACGTACATCTTATCTCTTATGGTGCTAAGGAGTGTGTCATAAATCAGGTAATTGTAAGAGTTTTGTTCAAGCAGAAAAGGTCTTTCAAGTCCTGTAAACAAACCCGACACCATCATTCTGTCTTAATAGTATAAGAAACGTCATCTTGTGCATCCTTGTAAGAGCTCTCAGACTCCCTATGTGACGCTTTGGGCTGAGAGGTGAGTGAGGGTGGTCCTTTTTTCTATCCCATGTGTGAATATTATTTAAAGGCCAAACGATGCATATAAATACAAAACAAGTGATGGAACGTGACTGTTTTTTAGATATTTGAGGTAGTTACATGAGTTGTATTGCAGAGTTTTGTTAAAATGGATCTTAAATTTGATTAAATTCAATGTATTTAGTATAGCCCTAAATAACAACAGCAGTTATCTCGGTGGACTTGTCAATTTGCCAACACAGATTAGAGAATCAAACATCTCAAAAACGGGAAATGCAACCATAACAAACGCATTGAGCCGTTGGTCCATAAGGCGCAGTTGATCGTCACCACCGTCCTTAGACTCTCCCGATAAACTTAATATGACAAAATATGTAAAAACACATTATCCACACATTTTCACAATTGTAATGGCTGTTATGACGCGAGTCTGCAGACCTATCCAACTCTGTATACCGTTCAAAGGATTTTCCATCTAACAAAAATATCTGGACCATAACATCTTGGAAACGTCTTGACTTGTCTCCAGAGCCGAGCTTGGAGCAGCACCTGAAGGGACGCAAACACGAGACTCTCAGCAACGTGAGGTCCACCAGGAAGTCCCAGGAGGAGCGCAGTGTGTTCGTGAGTGGCCTGAAGCCGGACGTCTCCAACAGCGATGTGGCCGAGTACTTCCAGCGCTTTGGCTCCATCACAGACGTCATCATGGACAAAAACAAGGTCAGATGAACAGCGGTAGCTAATGCTGGACAGCGGCACTCACCGTACGCCATGTGCTCTTAGGGGGTGTATGCCATCGTTCAGTTCGATGAGGTCGCCGGCGTGAACGCTGCTTTATCTCATGACGAGCATCAGCTGAAGGGTCTGAAGCTCCGAGTGAAACCCAGAGAGAAAAAAGAATTCAAGTTAATTCCCAAGAAGAAAAACTACTTTCAGAACCTGCAAGAAGTCTGTGAGAGACTGAAGCCGGAGCTCTGCCAGCTGACGTCCGTAAGTGACTCTTGTTTGGAAATGCATTTTTAAGATGTGTCTTTGTTTCTACGTCCTCTTGTTTTGGTCCCACTGCAGGTCAACGCACAGATGCAGTACATGGTAGAACGATTCCAGCTCGGAGAGAATGAGAAGAAATCCAGGAGCTTGGTGATACAGCTACTGCAGGAGGTTTTTGTTGAGTTCTTCCCAGGTATTTAAATACTTTTTACGACCCATTCTATGCATTTTAACGTCTAAATACAGTCACTTTTGAAATGTTAACTTAATATTATTGATGATGGTGTACAGACAGCCAAATAATCCCGTTTGGATCTTCTGTCAACACGTTTGGCATCCACTCCTGTGACTTGGATTTGTTTTTGGATTTGGAAAATACCAAGGTCTTCCAAGCTCACGCCAAAGCCAACATGGAACAGGTTTGAACTTTATAGATGCAGTTATGTTATATCACCCCAGGGGTCAGTTTAAACTGTCACTGATACAGTTATATGGATTAAAAGGGCCAATCAGCACATCAGCTTCACCAATGTCCAAGAATGAAACCCAATCCGACAGACACACACCAGTGCGTGTCGGTGAATCACCAATTAGAAGTTCTAATTGGAGTTTGTTTGTCCTTGTGTTCAGGCCGGGGAGGGCGTGTCAGACGATGGCCGATCAGAGGATTCTATCTTGTCTGATATCGACCTCTCCACGGCGTCTCCAGCTGAACTCTTGGACTTAGTGGCGGTTATTTTAAAGCGCTGCGTCCCCAGTGTGGACAAAGTGAACGTGGTCAGCACCGCCCGACTTCCTGTGGTCAAGTTTCAGCACAAAGAGCTCCACCTTCAGGGCGACATCACGCTGAACAACAGGTCAGCACCGTCTCATCCCCATCACACTGCAGCGGAACAGAAACTACACTAAACTTTCCTCTGTAGACTGGCGGTGAGAAACACCCGCTTCCTCCAGCTGTGCTCCGGGGCCGAGGAGCGGCTGAGGCCCCTGGTCTACACCCTGCGACTGTGGGCCAAGCAGAAGCAGCTGGCCGGTGCGTACTCTTCTACTGACTGACAGTTCAGGCAGTCGTCAGCAGATGTCAGTAAAGCTGCATCTGGAGGTTCACAAGAGGCCTGTAGTGAAAGATGTCTTTTCCTGTTGTTCAGTATACATTAGAATCTTATTGCTGTAATTAGTTAAAAAGAAATGTAGTAGATATAATCCCATGCAACCTCATTTTAAAGCTTTTGTCATGGTTTTCTTATGATAATGATCAAAAGACTGCACATCTGTACACACATCATATACTTTATTTGTACACTTATTATGTTTGAAGTTTGTCTCTTTCAAATTCAAATCTAATGTTGTTTTGTCTCTTGATATAAAACTAAAATGAGCTAAACCTGTGCAGGAAACCCCAGTGGAGCGGGGCCTCTGCTCAACAACTACGCCCTGACCCTCCTGGTGCTGTACTACCTCCAGAACTGTGAGCCTCCAGTCCTGCCCACGGTCAACCAGCTCAAAGACATGGCCTGTAGGTGGCGCTCTCATGTGTTTGTTTTGTTGGATCACATCAGCTGTCACCACCTGGACAGCGACTCCTCCTGAGGTCCTGATGTCAAATACTTACAATAATCCCGTAATCACACTTTGTTGTACGACTCCACACTGTCTCTTTTTAAATGAATGAGAATCAACCAATCAACACTTGATAAACACATTCCTCTGTCCACTGCACTGAGGCTGCTTTAGCTTTAGTCCAGCTTTGGTTCAACCCCAGCAAGAATTGAAACAAATTGAATCCATATTTAATATAATAAAAAATGTTCCATATTATAAGAGGTTAAAAGAAAAGTATAGCTGCAGATGCAAAAGATCAGTTAACACACTTCACACAAAGATAAGTTTATATCCACAAGTTCCCGCTGCTTTTCTTTTGTAAATACTTTTGTCTGTCAAGTGAATGTAACTACATTATTGTTACATTTTCAGCTGAAGTCGCCCACACTCAAATATGTTCCAAATTAGATGAGATGTTACAAGTCCAGCCCTCCTCAGTAGAGGTGCAACGGTTCATCACTGATCCGTGATCCGTTCGGTTCAACGTCTTCGGTTCGGTACAGACGTGATCCGCGGTTTGATTTATGAAAAAAAAGTTGTGCGCACGTTATTCAGTCCACACACAGCGTGGTCATTGCGAGCGGAGGAACGGAGATGCTTGAAAGCCCCGCGTCATTTAAATCCCCAGTATGAGAGCATTTTGGCTTCACTGTAACTACACTGATAATTAATATTCGACAAAACTGTCACGATGTGTAAGCACTGTGGCACAAGAAAGACATGAGTGAAAAAAGCGTCTCAACGACCACCTATTGTCGCGGCATTTAAGCAGCTCCTTTACGCACAGTCAGACCGGGCTAAAGTCAGCTCTCCCGCGCATCACAGCTGCGCTCACGACTGACGTTTGGACGTCCCGCGGAACCTATAATAGATCCATGAGCGGAACCGCTCACTTCATCACCGCAGACTGGGAGATGAAAAGTCTGGCGCTGAAGACACGCCCCCTCTACGACAGTCACACTGTCACACAGCGCAGGTACTGACACAAGCAGCGGAGGAATGGAAGACAAAGGCCCAGTACTAATATCCCAGTCACAACTGATAATGCCAAAAATTAAATAAATGCAGTGAATGAGGCTGGGCCCAGAATGGACCGCCTCCTCGAATCAGGAAGGTGGTGTAATATATGAGAGTAAATATCCTCATAAAGTGCCTTCTTATGTTGCACTTTGTGTTGTTTTTCATTAATTATGTTAAATAGACATAATTGGATGGATGGAATATGCCATCCATCCATCCATCCATTTCCTTCCCCTTAATTCATTTCTAGGTCAGGGGGGGGGGCAGTCAGAGCAGGTGCCGAGTCCACATGAGCTGTGTTTATTAAAAAGACAACACTTTTTTTTTTGAAAAATGAACCGAAAAATGAACCGAACCGTGGCCTCTGAACCGAGGTACGAACCGAACCGTGATTTTTTCAAACCGTTGCACCCCTAGTCCTCAGTGTCCTGATGTCTCTTACCCACTGTGGCCTGTTGCCTTGCACATACAAACATGCATATTATACACATACACGGACATGTACAGTACAGACCAAAAGTTTGGACACACCTTCTCATTCAAAGAGTTTATTTTCATGATTATGAAAATTGCAGATTCACACTGAAGGCATCAAAACTGAAGTGAAAATATGTCTTGTATTCTGAGTTCCTCAAAGTAGGACCTTTTGCTCTGATACTGCTTCACTTTTGGCATTCTCTGGATGAGCTTCAAGAGGACCTGAAATGGTCCGAGTTCCCATGATGCTTAGCACTTGTTGGCCCTTTCGCCTTCACTCTGTGGTCCAGCCCCAAAACCACCTGGACTGGGTTCAGGTCCAAAACCATCTGGACTGGGTTCAGGTCCAAAACCATCTGGACTGGGTTCAGGTCCAAAACCATCTGGACTGGGTTCAGGTCCAAAACCATCTGGACTGGGTTCAGGTCCAAAACCATCTGGACTGGGTTCAGGTCCAAAACCATCTGGACTGGGTACAGGTCCAAAACCATCTGGACTGGGTACAGGTCCAAAACCATCTGGACTGGGTTCAGGTCCAAAACCATCTGGACTGGGTCCAGGTCCGGTGACTGGAGGCCGGGTCATCTGGCCCAGCACCATCACTCTCCTTATTGGTCCAACAGCCCTTACACAGCCTGGTGTGGATCTACAGTCAACAGTCATGAAAAGAAAGGAAACTCATTGAATGAGAAAGTGTGTCCAAACTTATGGTCTGTACTGTATATGTTCATGTGTATGTGTGTACATGTACAGGTATATGCATACACATACGGGCACATGTATATGTGTACATGTGTATGTGTGTACATGTGTATATATACACAGACTGATGTGTATGATGTACAGACCCAAGCCTCTATACTCTGTAATAAACTGTTATGACATGTTCCTATAAAGTAAAAAGAGAGAAGCTCTGACTGTGGCCTTCAGTTCTGGGTCTGGGGCGGGTCAAATGCCCTTCAGCTGCTTGGTCTGTAATGTGGCTTCTGTTTCTTCACCTGTTCTATGTCTGCAGGTGAGGAGGAGGAGTGTGTGATTGAAAACTGGGACTGCACGTTTCCTACTCAGGCCATTGCTGTTCCTCCCAGCAAAAACACTCAAGAGCTTTGTGAGTGGAACTTTCCTTTACTTTCTGTAAGTTGAAATGCTGTGATGATTCTAATAAAACACATTCTACGTCATGTGTTCATAGGTTCTCTGCTCGCCGGTTTCTTCAGCTTCTACGCTCAGTTTGAATTTGCCACAAATGTCATATCCCTCAGAACCGGCCGCTCAGATCCACTTACAAATGTACAAAAAGCCGCAGCAGATGACGACATGCAGCAGGATTGTTCTGCTAAGCCTCCTCAGGGCGGCCCCAGAATTGGGCCGATGAATATCTTGGACCCTTTCGAGCTTTCCCACAATGTTGCCGGGAACCTAAACGAGCGCACGGCTCGCAGCTTCCAAAAAGAATGTCAGGAGGCGGAGAAGTACTGCCGCAGCCTGCAGTACCAGGTCAAATCCAACAAAGGGAAGTCGTGGGGCCTGGTGCGTCTGCTCACCCCTCAAGGGGAAGGGCCTCAGGCCCGAATGGACCTGCTCACTGTCAGCATCCTCCTGAGGTCTGAGGGACTTCCAGAAGACCTCCAGAACCAGCAGCACGTGGCCAAAGACGCCTTCTCTGTTCTGTGGTTTCAGAGAGTGTGTGCCGTCGTAGAGGGCATTTTTCAGAACGTTCTCAAGTGTCACCTCGTCTCGGCTCCTGAGGTGTTGGAGGAGGGCCAGGACGTGGACCTGAGCTCGTCTCTGGACGACAGCGGCCTCAGCGTGGAGTCTCCCGTTAATCCCGGTCCAAACGTCGGGGGGAAAAGGCCTCTGTCGTCCGGCAGCGATGACTCTGTGTCGCCTCATGGCAAGAAGCCCAGACTGACCAAAAGGGGGCGCTCCGTGCTGTCTCCCTGGCTGTGGGAGCAGAGGCACTCTGTGTGGGCAGGACGGAGGAAAGTGAGGCGAGAGCTGATCAAAGACTCCGAGGCTAAAGCAGAGGGCAGCTGTGTGGAGCTGGAGACACAGGTCACTACACACATCACCGAGAAGGAGCCGCAGCTGAAGGAGGCGCTGCAGTTCAAACTCCAGCCTCAGCTGGTGGTGGCGACAGAGAGCACAAGCACGCTGCTAAAGTTCCAGCCCATCCAGGACTCTGAGGGAGTCTTCCAAGACTTCTTCCACTTTCTGGAAGTGTTCCTGCCCAAGATGGTGGACACGATGCTTGTAAAAAGAGCAGATAATTCTTGAATGTTCACCTGCTGTCAATGTATACATTTGGATTGGCATTTCTAGTTCATTAGTGCTATTGCAGCTAGTTTGATTTCCTAAAATAATGTCATATAATTATTTTTCTAATCTATTTGTTTGGAGAGACAATGGTTAATATTGGTTAGTATATATTATACTCATGTGTGTATTATACGGGCTTGTATTATGTTAGTTTTGTGCTAAAAAGCCCATTTTATGTTTTTAAGTGTGTTTCTTGTTGACATACTTTGTGACGTTTCCCTCGGGATTAATCTGGTTGTGACACAAAATGAATAGAATGGAAAAGCGTTTGTCGTCCAGTGTGTGTTCCCTGATCTCCTCACAGTCAAACGTCCTCACCGTGACGTTGGTCAGGTTTGTCCTGGCGAGCGACTGGGGCCTCGGCGCCTGTTACTCATCAGGTCGACTGCTTTTATGAGACCGGAGCGAGCCGAGCACAGGGACAGCTCTGATTAACGTCATTCATCTGCGTTTAAGGCCTCGGCGTGTGGGACCGGAGGCTGCAGAGGGGCTCGTTACACCGCTGCTCGTAGAATGTAGAGGATTCTCACGTCTGAAGCTGCGTCCGGTCTCTACACATCCACTAAGTTCTGTTTAAGTCTCAGTTTGAAGTTAAAGGTTCTACATGTGACTCCTCTTGTCTTTCTTTTCCCTGGAATGTTCTATGCAGGAATGCCAATCTCAGGTCTGATTTTGGTGGCATTTTGTTTTTCCCTTGCAGCATTGATGGTAATGGGCTTCTATGGCATGTTCTAAATCCGCAGAGAAAACAACCAAATGTATTCTACAATTTTAGCCCAACACATAATTTAGTTTTTATTTGTTATATCAGGCATCTCTTTATGTTTTCACCAGACAAGAAAAGAATATTCAAACTCATGTAAATAACGGTCGTAAAACTGCCCTGAACGACCTTTTACTTTGTTTTATTTTTGCCTCGACCAAAATGAGTTTGGCACTGCTGTTCTACTGTATGGTGTTAGACTGTCTGGCTCTGATTGGTCCAGTCAAAAATGCAGTTCTAGATCAGTCTTCGAGCGGGTTGGGAGGTCCGTGGTGTTGACCCAGGGCTGGTTGCATCACCTCCTGGTCATTTGTTGTGGTACAGTTGGTTACATGTCATCGTGAAACATTCTGTGACGGTAACATAGAAACTATCTGGAGCCTTTACTCTCCCGCCAACATGTTTCTCTTTGTGTCTGGGTGGGTTTGCTCCAGGTGCTCCGGTTCCCCCAATCAAACCCTCGCGCCGAGCTCTGATTTGTGATCTCTGAGGGTTCATGGTTCACTGCCTGATGGTCACGTTCAGGCAGGATTGGAGGCGAACTCTAACAACAGAACTAGTCCACTGTCATTAATGAGTTGTAGTTTTTCCTCGGCAGCAGACGCACTGATGAAGGTAATGACTTAGTGGTTCTGTGGCTCCGCAGACGTCTCCTGATGGCCGTGTTCAGGTGAATGAGCGCTCTGGAGCCGTGTGCTCATCAGGACCATATTGCTGTCGGCTCGTCTCTGCGCCAAGGCCGTGCAAACAGAGACGGCTTTCTCAAAAGCACTCTGCTCATATTAGTGCCCCCCACTCTGTCGATAAGGGGAAATAAAAGGCCTCATCATTTCCCCCTCAGTGTGTGTGCGCACAGGAAGCATGTGCACGTGTTCTGTGCTCTCTGCTGCCTGAGCCACATGTCTTATGCAAATGGAAATGGAAGATCTTAAGTGAGACTGGGCTTTTAGGAGATTTGAGGCGTACAGGTGTTTTTGTGTGTTTTATTACAGAAAAGACTGGAAAATGTACTCGTCTAGTGATTTGGAGAAACTTTCATTTCTGCTTTTGATTTGGTCTCAGGTCAGACTAAGTGCTTGAGTACCAGAGACAAAACACAGGCTGAAGTTCATCCTTAATATTTCACATGTAAGTCCTGTCATCAGCCCAAGATGATGAGAGTGAGCTGTAGTGTGTTGCTCTCGTTGTTCTAATGAAGGATTCTGACACAAATGAATCTGGGACAATCGGAACTCATTCTCTCAAACTGATGTCTCTGGGCACATTGTTTGTGGACCTCTTTAGGGCATTATCTGAGGGGTAGTGGAGTGTGAAGGCTGCTGCTGCAGGCAGAGCTCTGAGCTGCAGCTGGTGGGGGCAGAATATACAGTGCCTTACGAAAGTATTCGGCCCCTTGAACCTTTCAACATATCGCCACATTTCAGGCTTCAAACATAAAGATATAAAAATTACATTTTTTGTCAAGAATCAACAAGTGGGACACAATCGTGAAGTGGAATGAAATTTATTGGATAATTGAAACTTTTTTAACAAATAAAAAACTGAAAAGTGGGGCGTGCAATATTATTCGGCCCCCTTGTGCTAATACTTTGTAGCGCCACTTTTTGATGCAATTACAGCTGCAAGTCCCTTGGGGTATGTCTCTATCAGTTTTGCACATCGAGAGACTGGAATTCTTTCCCATTCTTCCTTGCAAAACAGCCCGAGCTCAGTGAGGTTGGATGGAGAGCGTTTGTGAACAGCAGTCTTCAGCTCTTTCCACAGATTCTCGATTGGATTCAGGTCTGGACTTTGACTTGGCCATTCTAACACCTGGATACGTCTATTTGTGAACCATTCCATTGTAGATTTGGCTTTATGTTTTGGATCATTGTCCTGTTGGAAGATAAATCTCCGTCCCAGTCTCAGGTCTTTTGCAGACTCCAACAGGTTTTCTTCCAGAATGGTCCTGTATTTGGCTCCATCCATCTTCCCATCAATTTTAGCCATCTTCCCTGTCCCTGCTGAAGAAAAGCAGGCCCAAAGCATGATGCTGCCACCACCATGTTTGACAGTGGGGATGGTGTGTTCAGGGTGATGAGCTGTGTTGCTTTTACGCCAAACATATCGTTTTGCATTGTGGCCAAAAAGTTCGATTTTGGTTTCATCTGACCAGAGCACCTTCTTCCACATGTTTGGTGTGTCTCCCAGGTGGCTTGTGGCAAACTTTAAACGAGACTTTTTATGGATATCTTTGAGAAATGGCTTTCTTCTTGCCACTCTTCCATAAAGGCCAGATTTGTGCAGTGCACGACTGATTGTTGTCCTATGGACAGACTCTCCCACCTCAGCTGTAGTTATCTGCAGTTCATCCAGAGTGATCATGGGCCTCTTGGCTGCATCTCTGATCAGTCTTCTCCTTGCTTGAGATGAAAGTTTGGAGGGACGGCCGGGTCTTGGTAGATTTGTAGTGGTCTGATACTCCTTCCATTTCAATATAATTGCTTGCACAGTGCTCCTTGAGATGTTTAAAGCTTGGGAAATCTTTTTGTATCCAAATCCGGCTTTAAACTTCTCCACAACAGTATCTCGGACCTGCCTGGTGTGTTCCTTTGTCTTCATGGTTCTCTCTGCGCTTTAAACAGAACCCTGAGACTATCAAAGAGCAGGTGCATTTATACGGAGACTTGATTACACACAGTTGCATTCTATTTATCATCATCAGTCATTTAGGACAACATTGGATCATTCAAAGATCCTCACTGAACTTCTGGAGTGCGTTTGATGCACTGAAAGTAAAGGGGCCGAATAATATTGCACGCCCCACTTTTCAGTTTTTTATTTGTTAAAAAAGTTCAAATTATCCAATGAATTCCGTTCCACTTCACGATTGTGTCCCACTTGTTGGTGATTCATGACAAAAAAATTTAATTTTATATCTTTATGTTTGAAGCCTGAAATGTGGTGAAAGGTTAAAGGGGGCCGAATACTTTCGCAAAGGCACTGTATACATGTATCTGTTACAGTCACTGTCAGACAAAGGAGGATATGAACATCTTTATTCACTATCATTTTAATAAATATAGGTGTTTATTGGTTTCTCAAAGTGCAGTGTTTTTTAGAGCTGAGAAACATAACTTCACAAAACCTGTCTCCAGTGACTGTGAAGCTGAAGTGACCAACAAAACCTCCAAAGTTAATAATAACGTAAACCAGGATGGAAGCGAATCCCCTTCATTGTGTTGCAGAGTGCAGATAAAACACAATGTTGCTATTGGCCTCAAACACGTCACACGCACGCGCTCATAGACTGGACTAAATAATGCAGGATGAAGTAATGAGCGGCCGCAGCGGAGGGTCTGGGAGTGATGGTGTCATCGCCTCCTTTGGTCCCTGCAGCTTTTCTTCTGATGCAAATGTAGTTCCACCTGTTCCAGGTTCTGGAGCCTGTTCTTTGATAAAGAAGTTGTAAACGGTGCTTTGGTCCAAGTGCGCGCGTACAGGGTGCGCGCATTAAGCTTAGCAGCCTGTGTCTAATGTCTGCTCCTCTCACTGGAGTCCGACCATAAAACTGAGGGCTGCTTTTATGGCAGCTCCTGCTAAGGTTTTAGAGGTGCAGTGACTAATCTATACGTTTATATTCACCTGCTGCAGTTTATCATCTGCATTCAACATCGTCTGACGCTTGGAGACGCGCGCGTCACCTGTGCGCACAGTGATAAAGTCAAAACCCGCGCGCTCTGGGGGAGGAGGGGGAGTGACCTGAGGGTGAGGGACCTGAGGAGGGAGGAGTTTGGGAGAGAGTTCTCAACACTATATATTCTGGCTGAGGAGAGAAGGCACAACACCCAGGGACACGGGACAAGTGAAAGTAAGTTGTATCCGTGTTGTGTTGTAGATGTGACAGAGTTGTGTTGCAGTTGTGACTGTGTTGTGTTGCAGATGGCCTCCATGATGAGATGGTGTGTGGTGCTGTGTGCGCTCCTGTGTGTGTTGCTGTGTTGGAGCCGCTCTGCAGACGCCTATCCTGCCAAACCCGAGAGTCCAGGCAACAGCGCGTCCCCGGAGGACTGGGCCAAGTACCACGCAGCCGTGCGCCACTATGTGAACCTCATCACCAGACAGAGGTCAGTGTGAGCGGGAATGTGTGTGTGTGGTGTGTGTCTTTTAGGAAAAGGTTATTCAGGGCGAGTTTGTGTCTTTGTGTTCTATGTGTGCAGACTTGAAATCCAGGATCTCACTCACAAACTTGAAGGGATTGAGATTGAAGGGGACACCTTTATAAAAAGATTTTAATCCATTGTATTTATTTAGAAATGTATGTCAATTCAGGCACAAGAGACAATGAGCTTTTCCATTTCCATGTTAGTCCTGGTTCAGTGTGGATTTAGATCCATATTATTCTGTATAAAATACTAAAATTATATGTTTACTCTCTGTTCTGGACATATATGGATGTATTCTATGGATCAATATTCTAAACTCTCCTCAAGTTGACTTCACTCATAAACACAAAGCCAAGCTGCTCCCATCCACTGCTTCTGTAACTCAATAGCAGCGTTACACATGGAGAGGCTGCTGCCTGATGCTGCCTGATGCTGCCTGATGCTGCCTGATGCTGCCTGATGCTGCCTGATGCTGCCTGATGCGGCCTGCTGCTGCCTGATGCTGCCTGATGCTGCCTGATGCTGCCTGATGCGGCCTGATGCTGCCTGATGCGGCCTGCTGCTGTGAGCATGAATAAGACAGTGATGTGAGTGTTGCTTCTGTCACAGGTACGGGAAGAGATCATCTCCAGAAGACTTGGGATGGCTGCTCTTTGGAGCCGACTCTGAGCCACGGTGAGAGAGAAATGACTCCAAAGAAGCAGTATTTGGTGATGATGCAGTGGGTTAATGGTGTCAATGTCAAAAGTTTCTTAGCCTCTCACTTTCAGGTTGAAGATGTCAAGATGTTGAGAGTCCAATGTATTCCTTGTGCTAATTCCTTGTGTTACCCTCGGGTCAGAATGACCCAGACTGTGATGAACAGTAGAGCCAGGGCTGTCAATTTAGGAAAAATCATCAAAATTCAACTTGAAAAAGTAATTATTTAGAGCATTTCCTAATCACTGTAGCAGGTCAGTTAAGTGTTAAAATGTTCAGCTCAGACCGAGGTTTTGGTCTGCGCTTCCTTTTCCTATTTATATTTATAATAATTCACACATAATCAACATAATATAATGTGTTTAATATAAAGTAATTTCCCAAATATATAGATGCACTGTTTCTTTTAGCCTCGTACGACTCCCAGAATCACCACCCCATCCTACGGACTATTGATTCCTATTTCCTTTCACTCTGGACTCTAACAAACCAGTTTTTCATTCCAAGTGATGTTGCCGACAGCAGCACAAAGCCATCCCCATTTTACACAACTGTCGATGATTTAATCTGTCTCTCCTTTGCCTATTGACAGGTCGGAATACAGCGATCAGTGGTGAATCGCCTCTGACGGATGAGAAAACCCAAAGGACCTCCAAAGAAAACCTGCACTGGACTTTGTGATTTTACACATTGATTTACAGCATGCCCCACCTCTGTCTGTCGATACTGACTCTGAACATCTGTGCACATCCTCCCATTCTGTTTCCAACTGAAGGCAATGGTTACTACAGAGGCCATATCATTTATACTGTTCTATGACTATATATATATATATATATATATACATACACACACACACAAAATCATCTAATTTAAATTAATATATTACTCTAATAAAGTGTTTAAAAGGAGTTCACAGTGTTCATTTTGTGTTTACCTGCACTCAGCCTCAAGCCCCATTTGGGTATGACTTTACCTTTGTATAAGTGTGTGTGTGAATATGTGTGTGTGTGTGTGTGTGACTCAGACTGCATAGCCTGTTTCCACCGGCCCTACTTGGCCCTACTCTATTCTACTCGGCTCTAGTCTTCCTGGTTATGTTTCCATTACGCTGCAGTATCTGGTACTGTATCCTGGGTTCGAATCCCGATTGGAACAGGGCCTTTCTGAGTGGAGTTTGCATGTTCTCCCTGTGTCTGTGTAGGTTTCCTCCAGGTGCTCTGGTTTCTCCTACCACTAAAAACATGAATAGGTAAATCCTCCTGCTCCATGTAGTCCTGACCAAGCCGAGCATCAACATCTGGAGATGGGATCCCAGGTGCTGTACTGTAGTAACCACTGCTCCAGACAGAGGCCCAAGTGGCATTTGCAGGACGGGTCAAATCCCTACAGGGAGAAATAAAGTGCACCTTTAAATGTATTTACATTTCCAGCAGAAGCGTCTTTGAGTGTCCAAAAAAGCGCTATATAAAACTGATGCATTATTATTATTATTATTAAAGCACTTTCTAAAAAGTATTGGTACTGGTTAAACACGTCTGGTGGAAACACTCCTAATTGGGGTAGTAGGAGTAGTAGTAGAAGTAGGGGTAGTAGAGTAGGTGGAAATGGGGCTTATGATGAGGTGTGCACAGGTTTTTTTATCCAGGTGGATCTGTTGGGTCAACATATTTAATGTGTGTACATACATGAATGGAAATATACTTTACAAATAAACATTGATTGAAAATAAAATATAAATAAATAAAATATAAATAAATAAAACAATAAAACAAAATGCAGATCCGGCTGTGGCCACTAGAGGTCGCGGTCGCACTGTGTAAGCTCACACGGTGCACGTCTTCCTGTTCAGTGACCAGAGCCGCTTCATCACCTCCTTCACACAGACTCACGGAGCCGCTCGGAGACGCTCGGAGCCGCTCGGTGGTCGTGTGCGCAGCGTGTGTTTGTCTGTGGTCCATGACGGATCTCGCGTCCAGGTCCAACCCCGGTGAGGTCCGTGCGCAGTGCCGTCGGACAGTCTGGAGCGTCGCGGTGTCTCAAGTCTCTTCAGAGGTTTATAACAAGAGCTGCTACACGACCACAGCCCGGAGAGGAGCCCCCCGTCCCCGCGTCCGGAGGTGTGAGGTGTGGGTACCCCTGGAGGAGACGAGGTGAGACCTTTACGCACGCCAATGTCACATCCACGCACTGTGCCGTAGATGTAGTTCTGATGTCGCCCTTATGACGCCTACAAATGGCTTCGCCCAGGGTCAGGTCCAGGAGCCACTGGACTTAGAGTCGTCCAGAACCGCATGACGAGAACACGTGTGCCAAAATGTTACGTACTCATCCTTAGCTCCATTATGAACCTGTTTTACGTCACTGTCTTGTTTACCTTTGCGCAGTGGTTCAATTAGACACGCGTTGTTTTAATTAGCTTCACTGGACATAGCATTGAGCTAATTTGATGAGTAAGGTTAATGCACACTGGATAATACCTTTGTGAGCGTAGAATCAAGAGTTTAGAGCAATGTGCTATCAAATATATGAGAAAAGGAAGCTGAGCGCTCTGCACCTGTTCAGAGGCACTGCGCATGCTCAGAAGGCACCTCTCTCCTTCAGATGTGAGGTCCAGGGTCCAGCTGCAAAGGTGCACTGCTGACCGTGCTGCAGACCTGCTGTGGACACAGGGGTCTGGACAGAGACTGTTCATAATGTTAGACATATTTATTCTGTAGTGAGCCTTATGAAGAGGAAAACAATCAAAGATAAATATGTTTGCAGACAAAGTTTTTCTTTCTACACATGTTGCTCTAAAGAGATGGTAGTTTTTTCTTACATAGATTTGATTTGATTTGATTTTTTTAAGGGGCATGTTTGTGGCATATGTCAAGGAGATCAGATCAGATAAAATGGTTGGTGCAGGTGATCTAAAACACACGTCTGAAGCTGCAGATTATTGCACCATCGCTACAGCTCAGGAAGCTTAGAATTTGACAATATTTCGGAAACATTTGATTCAGTAGATAATAGAGAATTTATCTTATTGATGTACCATATATTCTGCCCTCTAACGTCCGGGGGTAATATCGATTTAGCAAAATAAAGAATCTGAACTGTGTCCATCTAAAAGCGAGGTGCCCTGAGGCCCGCTGGACAGACCCAGGACCCGCTGGACAGACCCAGGACCCGCTGGACAGACCCAGGACCCGCTGGACAGACTCCGCTGTGGACAGGTCTGATCTCTCTAAGTGGCAGAAATGGATGGCACGCAGCTAATTAGCACCACAGCTATAAACACTTGAAAGTTTAATTTATGTCCAGATGAAGCAGATCATATATTTCCATACTGCCATACATCACCTAATCAGTTGAGTCAAAGTGTGAAGACCACACAAAGGAGACTTTAGCCTCAGTCTCAGCCTTTAGCCTCAGCCTTTAGCCTCAGCCTTTAGCCTCAGCCTCAGCCTCAGCCTCAGCCTTTAACCTCAGCCTTTAGCCTCAGTCTCAGCCTTTGACCTCAGCCTCAGCCTCAGCCTTTAACCTCAGCCTTTAGCCTCAGTCTCAGCCTTTGACCTCAGCCTTTAACCTCAGCCTCAGCCTTTAACCTCTAGCCTAAGCCTTTAACCTCAGCCTTTAGCCTCAGCCTTTAACCTCAGCCTTTAGCCTCAGCCTCAGCCTTTAGCCTCAGCCTTTAGCCTCAGCCTCAGCCTTTAGCCTCAGCCTTTAGCCTCAGCCTCAGCCTTTAGCCTCAGCCCTTAGCCTCAGCCTGTAGCCTCAGTCTCAGCCTTTAGCCTCAGCCTCAGCCTTTAGCCTCAGCCTTTTGCCTCAGCCTCAGCCTTTAGCCTCAGCCTGTAGCCTCAGTCTCAGCCTTTAGCCTCAGCCTTTAGCCTCAGCCTTTAGCCTCAGCCTCAGCCTTTAGCCTCAGTCTCAGCCTTTAGCCTCAGTCTCAGCCTTTAGCCTCAGTCTCAGCCTTTAGCCTCAGCCTTTAGCCTCAGCCTCAGCCTTTAGCCTCAGCGTCAGCCTTTAGCCTCAGCCTTTAGCCTCAGCCTTTAGCCTCAGCCTCAGCCTTTAGCCTCAGCCTTTAGCCTCAGCCTTTAGCCTCAGTCGTGGCCTTTAGCCTCAGCGTCAGCCTTTAGCCTCAGCCTTTAGCCTCAGTCGTGGCCTTTAGCCTCAGCGTCAGCCTTTAGCCTCAGCCTCAGTCTTTAGCCTCAGCCCTTAGCCTCAGCCTTTAGCCTCAGCCTTTAGTCTCAGCCTCAGCCTTCAGCCTCAGCCTCAGCCTTTAGCCTCAGTCGTGGCCTTTAGCCTCAGCGTCAGCCTTTAGCCTCAGCCTTTAGTCTCAGCCTCAGCCTTTAGCCTCAGCCTCAGCCTTTAGCCTCAGCCTTTAGCCTCAGCCTCAGCCTTTAGCCTCAGCCTTTAGCCTCAGCCTCAGCCTTTAGCCTCAGCCTTTAGCCTCAGCCTTTAGCCTCAGCCTTTAGCCTCAGCCTCAGCCTTTAGCCTCAGCCTTTAGCCTCAGCGTCAGCCTTTAGCCTCAGCCTTTAGCCTCAGCGTCAGCCTTTAGCCTCAGCCTTTAGCCTCAGCCTTTAGCGTCAGCCTTTAGCGTCAGCCTTTAGCCTCAGCCTTTAGCCTCAGCCTTTAGCCTCAGCCTTTAGCCTCAGCCTTTAGTCTCAGCCTCAGCCTTTAGCCTCAGCCTTTAGCCTCAGCCTTTAGCCTCAGCCTTTAGTCTCAGCCTCAGCCTTTAGCCTCAGCCTTTAGCCTCAGCCTTTAGCCTCAGCCTCAGCCTTTAGCCTCAGCCTTTAGCCTCAGCCTTTAGCCTCAGCGTCAGCCTTTAGCCTCAGCCTTTAGCCTCAGCCTTTAGCCTCAGCCTTTAGTCTCAGCCTCAGCCTTTAGCCTCAGCCTGTAGCCTCAGCGTCAGCCTTTAGCCTCAGCCTTTAGCCTCAGCCTTTAGCCTCAGCCTTTAGCCTCAGCCTTTAGCCTCAGCCTTTAGCCTCAGCCTCAGCCTTTGACCAGTCAGCCTTTAGCCTCAGCCTTTAGCCTCAGCCTTTAGCCTCAGCCTTTAGCCTCAGCCTTTAGCCTCAGCCTTTAGCCTCAGCCTTTAGCCTCAGCCTTTAGCCTCAGCCTTTAGCCTCTAGCCTCTTGTGTTCCGTTGCGTGACGTTTAATTCTAATGACTATAATCATGGTGTGTGTGGGAGGGACAGAGGACATCAGCCGCTGCTGAACAGCTGAAGGAGATTGTGTGTTGTGTGTTACACTGCACTTGTTCAGAGAGTAGCACCTGAAGTGTTTCTTGAACTGTATTCATGTCAGTAAATGATCTTATACTTCCTCATTCCAGTCCTGCTTAAACACTAACTTTACAAATAACTCAAATGTTGTGATAATGCTGGAGAACCACTTTATTTATAACATTGACATGACATTGTCGCAAACGTTACACACACTACACCAGACACACACACTACACCATACGCACACTACACCAGACGCACAGAACGCCATACAGAACACACACTACACCAGACACACACACTACACCAGACGCACACTACACCAGACGCACACTACACCAGACGCACACGCACACTACACCCGACACACACACACTACACCAGACACACACACACTACACCAGACACACACACACACTACACCAGACACACACACACACTACACCAGACGCACACTATACCAGACGCACACTACACCAGACGCACACTATACCAGACGCACACTACACCAGACGCACACTACACCAGACGCACACTACACCAGACACACACACACACTACACCAGACACACACACTACACCAGACACACACACTACACCAGACGCACACTACACCAGACACACACACACACTACACCAGACACACACACTACACCAGACGCACACTACACCAGACACACACACTACACCAGACGCACACTACACCAGACGCACACTACACCAGACACACACACACACTACACCAGACACACCACACTCTACACCAGACGCACACTACACCAGACACACACAACACCAGTCTGGCTGTATTGTCACACAACAATGAAAATGAAACCGTATATTTGCCGAACTAGGGTTTCCTCAAAGAAATGATAATATAAAAAAGTCCCATTGTTGTCCTTCTTTGTTCCCAAACGGTGTGTTTTCCTGGACTGTGTTGTGCGTCCGCAGACACCTGTAGTTCATTAATATGCACACAGGACTCTGACACCTTTGGTTTTGGGAGGCACCGGGCCGTGACGCCGCAGACGGCTCCAATCTGTGCTCTCCTTCAAAAGACCTCCTCGTCTTCTGATCGCTGCTGTCATTTCATTTTCAGAGGTTTTGGTCGTTTATGTCGACCCTGAAGTCCAGGTTCAGACCAACAGCTCTGATTCACAGGCACACACTTTTTTAACTTTTTAACTTTTTAACTATTCATCATAATAATGCATTGGTTTTATACAGCGCTTTTTTGGCCTCTCAAAGACGCTTCACATGGTGGTGATAAATACCTCCAGGACTGGGCGTTATGACGATATGAGTATTTCACATCAGTCGATATTGATAATCATTGTGTCGGCTAACACACGTGGTTACACCTGGTTTACTCCTGGTTACTCCTGGATTACTCCTGGTTTACTCCTGGTTTACTCGTGGTTTACACCTGGTTTACTCCTGGTTTACTCCTGGTTTACTCCTGGTTTACTCCTGGTTTACACCTGGTTTACACCTGGTTTACTCCTGGTTTACACCTGGTTTACTCCTGGTTTACTCCTGGTTTACACCTGGTTTACTCCTGGTTTACACCTGGTTTACTCCTGGTTTACTCCTGGTTTACTCCTGGTTTACACCTGGTTTACTCCTGGTTTACTCCTGGTTTACTCCTGGTTTACTCCTGGTTTACACCTGGTTTACTCCTGGTTTACTCCTGGTTTACTCCCGGTTTACTCCTGGTTTACACCTGGTTTACTCCTGGTTTACTCCTGGTTAACTCCTGGTTTACCCCTGGTTAACTCCTGGTTTACTCCTGGTTTACACCTGGTTTACTCCTGGTTTACTCCTGGTTTACACCTGGTTTACACCTGGTTTACACCTGGTTTACTCCTGGTTTACACCTGGTTTACTCCTGGTTTACTCCTGGTTTACTCCTGGTTTACTCCTGGTTTACTCCTGGTTTAC